TTACCTTTTTATATTTTGAATTTTATTTAGCTCCTACGACACTGTCAGGACAAAGATAAAAAATCACGTTCGCTTTGTCGCACTCATGGTACCGAAGTTGTGAACAACTGGTATGCTTATGACAAAGATAGATTATTTCGTTCGCTATTGTCAATGCGCGTGAGTCAGTAAATGTGTGTTTCTTTAAATTATTGTATGCTCAATATCCATTGTTAATCTCAAAAAAGTAAATACATGTTAATAAGGACTAATATTTTTTCTTTTAGCCTAAAACGGATATAAACGGATGCAAACTAACCCTTATGTTCACCCCCAAAAATAATATTTCCGTGATAACTCTGGTTCTAATCAATATTTTGGAATGGAACAAATTGGAAATTACTTCTTTAAAAAAAACATTTATGGGCTTATGTAATGTTGAATGAATAGTATGACGATATTCCACCAAATAGAGATACGCTCTGGGAACGTATACAAAATTTTTGGAACGCTATAGACGTGAATTATATACGACGCATTTTTACATCTATGCCAAACAGATTACAAGCCGTTATTTATTCGGATTATTTATGATGTCAAAATAAGTAAATAAGTTCATAACATTATGGGCCCGGAAATGCTTCCTTTCTGACAGATGTAAAATTAAAAAAAAATCCTGTTTTTCTAAATATTTCGAAAACGATTTAAGATATTACACTGAGCTTTGGTGTAATTAAATCGTTTTTGAGATATTTAGAAAAAACCAGATTTTAAATCTCTTTCGACATCTATCTCAGAAAGGAAACATTTCCGGACCCATAATGTCATGAACTTATTTATTTATTTTCACTTGCAGAACACGTCCTTAAAATATTTCCCTTTACTCCCGAAACTGTATGTTATAATAAAACTAGTTTACAATATTTTTTTATTTTGTTCCCTTCATGACCTACCTACCTACTTTCTGCAGAATATGACACAAATTCTTATTTCAAAATATTAATTTTCTCAGGGATAAGAAAAATAATGTGGCAAGACAAAATAATTTCAAAACCTGTATACTCTTCTCTTTTTATAATGCATATCAATTACCTACTTCAGGCCTGCAATTTTTTGTTGTGTCGTCACACACGTGCCTACACAAAAAAAATATGACACGCCCCTAATTATTGATGCCTCCCAAAATTCCTGTTAATAGTCCACCGGCTCGCCCCTTTAAAAGTAGTATGCCTTTTAAGTTGGAAACCTTTATCTTGCATCGAGTGTACATGTGTGTGTATCATAAATACTATTTATTTCACAAAATGTATTTTACATGGTGATTCATTTAACTTAATCAACCCAAATATTTCAGGAAAAACTGTTTCAGGCAAAAGTTTTCTGTTTGATTGAATATGCTTTAAAATCTGTCTGAATTTAGTTGTGTTATAGCCTAAGATAGTTTTAAATTTCTTTTTGATCTTTTATGGAGATATTTGATTTTGTAATAAATTACCTTGGGCAAATTTTATTTTCAACGTGCGATCGATGTGTGAAATTTATGGCTGAAAATGCTCTCTCGTGTGTAAATTTATCTAAAACGGTTCAATCTCGAAGATTAAACAAGAGTAACTTTTTTCTTTAACACTATTGACGACTTTTTTTCAAAAAAATTATAAAAGTGGTGTAAACATAAACGAGATAGGGATAAAGTACTATTCCTTAAGACTCATGTGGAATTTGAATAATACTTTGTGAATTAATTAGTTTAAGTCTAAGTCCTAAGTTTAAGTTTAAAATATGAATGAGATATCTCATAAATCTTTAAAAAAATCTCAAAAATATGATAGCCACCATTTACCTCTCTTATTCGTTTTTGAAAAAAAGTCTATACAAAAAAATACTCTTACTTTTGTTTGCCTTGAAATTATCGAGAGATAATGTAGTGTAATATACAAAGTTGTCCAAAGGCACCGGGCGTTACGTTTTTTTGTGAATTTGGAAGCAAAAATGCTCGGACACGTCGATTTTGGTTTTGAGGGGGACACATTTTGAGCACATTGCATTTTGAGCAGCCATGATCAGGGACGAAAGGGGGAAGAATGTACATAAATTTCACACACCGACCTAACTGTATTGGCATTTAAATCACAACGTTTTTGGTTAAGGCAATTTACAAATGATCGATTGTGGTTGTATTGACTCCTAACAAGTAATACGTAGGTGTATTTTTCACGGGCACCAAAACTATAGGGCTTAGGTTTCTACAGCCGTTTTCGCAGTAACTATCCAAGTAAAATCCAACAAATAGGGTATCATTGGAAAGAACATTTTTTGCCCTTTGAAATGATGTATCATTCGACCCCACTTTCCATTTGAAATTATATGGGTGTGATTCCCCCAGCTAGAGGCATGAAGGGGCGGGTTGAAAAATGTGCTTAAAATGTGACCCCGGTGCATATTTTTCGTTGGACCACTCTATATAAACAATTAAGTTTTATTTGATAACTAGCGTATGTGTGTAGATATAAGTAAGTACATATACCGGGTAGGAAAGTACCGATGGTCTATCTGAAGTTACGTGAGAGCGATAAAGTAAGCCATAGAAATCCATGCGATAGAGAAGGATGGCTATAATGAAGGCGTCTCATAGTCTCCGCCCGTTTCGCCCTTCCACAAATAAGAACCACTTCTTCAACTTTTATTAAGCATGTTCTATATCTAAAATTGTTAGTTTTTAATATATAGCAACATTTCTGAAAAGACTTATTTTTTATTATTTTATAGAATACCAACTAATAAATATTAACTAATAAAATTGTAACTCAAAATGGAATGATAAATTATGAACTGACAAGTTGACACAATGTGATGAAGTTTTTTCCAAAGCCAATTCGTGCGACCGAAAGTAATAAAAATTAGGTTTCTCCAGAAATGTTGCTATAACTTAAAAACTAACAACTGATATGTGAATAAAATAGAACAATAAAATACAGAATGTTCCATTTGAAAAATTTTAGAAAAGTTTGAACTTTCTAAAAATGATCGTATTATAAAAAATGCCCTGAATAAAATATCGATATTAGCTAAAATAGGAATCTTTGCCTAATATTTGCCTATAACTCTGTCAAATATTTTTGCTCCAAATGTCAGTAGTTGAAAATTGATACAACTTCTTCGAGGTCATGTTTTTTCCAAAATTTGAAGAATTTTCTACATAACTTGGCAACATCGCACTACAATATTAAACTGTTTGTATTGTCCTATATACAGTTTTCTCAGAAATCATATGTTTAAAAATATACAGGGGTTCCATTTAAAAAATGCAATATTTGACGTGTCCCAGTTTTACTCATCGTCCTGTATATTTCAAATTAATTTTGTCCTTTAGGTTTTTTGATTCTGTACAACTTTTATATTAACTTTTTTTCTGTAGAAATGAATAACAAGGGAGTTATTTTACTTTCTCACACTAATGACCCACCCTGTATAATTTAATGGCTTGTTATTAAAATTGCAATAATTTCCGTTGGCTTCTCTATCAACAATCTTTATTATTAAAATTGAAAATAAAAATAACTGATGCTCAAAAAGACAGAGTTTAGTTTACTGATAGTAAATTCGTGTACTTACCAAAATTCATATTCGTAGTGGTTTCAGAGGAATGCAAAAATACAAGGTCTGTTAAGAAACTAGTCGAACTTTATTTTTTTGAACCTTATTATTAATTTTATACATTATTGGTCCTTGTCTCCTTCAAAGTACTCCCCTTCCCTATTCACACACTTTTCCTAGCGGTATTTTCATTTCGTGAAGCAGTCCTGGATAGCATCAGTTGAAATGGTTTTTAAAGTCTGTAACGAATTTACTTTGATGTCATCAATAGTCTGAAAACGGCGTCCTTTTAGCATTGATTTTAATTTCGGAAATAAATAAAAATCACGAGGATCCGGGTCTGGCGAGTAAGAAGGGTGAGGGAGGACAGCAATATGATTTTTGGCACAAAACTGACGAATTGACAAAGCTGAGTGTGGAGGCGCATTGTAATGGTGCAAGAACTATGAGTTGTCTCGCCACAACTCTTGTCTCTTTCAGTGGATTCTTCACGTAACCGTTGTAAAACGTCTTGATAGTACACATGGTTCACTATTTCGCCTTCAGGTATGAATTAAAAATATACAACACGATATTAAATTCGGAAAAAAGGGAACATTACTTTGTCATTGGATCGAGACTGACGTGCTTTATTGGGCGTGGAGATCACATGACAATCCATTGTGATGATTGTTTGTCTCAATATCGTAGCCGTAAACTCAGTTTTCGTCTCCCGTTGTGATCCTTTGAATGAATGTTTCATCGTCATTGGATTGTTCAATGATTGCCGACAAAAATCCACACATCGTGAAAACCATTCGTAATATTGCGTAGGACCCAGAGCATCATCTCCTTAAGCTTTCAAAAGTTGAAACGTTTCCATGAAAGTTTTCCCCAGCTTAAGGAAAATTTTGTTTAAAAAATCGTCATTAACTATAAACACGTTGTACTCAAATAATAATGTCACGAAAACTAAATGACATTTCAGCAATCCAAGAACACGTGTTTATAGAGGAGGTTATGCGCAACGCAATGCTGCCAACCGCATGTCACTAAATGTCTCCATTAGCGCGTAATTCAAAGAGCTCGGTTATTTTTTTAATAGACCTCGTATATTCTCAGAAGCCAGTTTTGAACTGCCTCTTTGAACATTTTCCGTTTTACATTAAGACGATATTTTCCCCAATATTCTATTATGTGGTTGTAATTCACTCCCAGATAAAATTAATCTTTAAATAATATTATGACTTGGCAAAAATTTCTGGGTTATCAAACGAACCATGTACCATGAGTAAAACCAATAATTAAAGTATTTATTTATTTCTTTCTCAGCGAACTGATATTGCAGATATATCTGACATACTGACATAATTTATTTTTCCACTCGATTTGTTTACTTACATGTAATTTAACAATAAGTGATATCAGTCTGTCTAGAAAATTGAATATTTAACGACAAACCTTGATTGAAGTTACTGCTTAAGTCTTAAGTATATGCTGATAATTCCAGTGATAGAAAATAACTATAGTTAATAAAAATTAATAATAATATTGGGAATAAAGAACGTTTTTGGCTCACCATACAGCAACTGAAAGGTATCTAACATTTTATTAACTTTTTAAAAATTAGATTTAACCTTGTCTTTAAAAATATATTTACTTACACAATGTCAATGACAATTGTATATGCAAAAATATATTTGCCTAAATTTTCATATAAATTAAATTTTTTTATCAAGAAAGCAATGGACTATTGCATTCCATCACGTTTCTTTGTAATGAACACTGTAACGCTCCGCCTTTATATTTTTGGGGAGTTATTATTATTGTGGTATTTATATACAGGGTGGCCCAATAGTGCGACAAAGTTCAATAACTGTCTTATTATAAAGATTTGAAAAGAAATATTTTATGGGAGTAATGCACTTAAAAAAGTTCACATTTTAAAAATATTTTGAATTATACATGAGTTTGGCATGAAATAATTGTTTACTGTTGGTGTTTAATTGTCAGTGGTAAAACTTGTTCTTTTAAAATTTTGTTAAAATCTACTTTTAATCATTAAATTTAGCATTTTTCTGTTGTTTGACTAACTTACTAACTTATTATTTTGAAAAAAAATATACATAAGAATAATTATTATTCTTCCCGACCTGACAACTTTTTAGGGTATTTGTGATTTTCTATGGTTTTTATTAATTTCTTCTTAATCAAGTTAGCATCGGACAAAAACTTCAGCTTCACAATTTCAATTTTGTTACTGTTGGCGGATAAAGGATAAATTACAAGTTTTGTTATTTGCTGGCAAATATGACCTACTAGCCTAATAAAAAGTAAAATTTGCAGAATTAAAGGGGTTTTGTTAGAAAAGTGCCAATATTTCCGAAAATAGTTATTTTAGGGTAGGGTATTATTTAGAAAAGTTGAAGGTAATTAACGTATTAATCCAAAAATTAAATAATATATCGGGTGTTTCATTTAAAAAAACCGAGAAAATGTCCTTCGAAATTCGCTAAACTGGGGTTTATGTTTAGAACACCCTGTACAAAATTATAAAGATTTTGCTATTTTGTTGTTTGTCCACATATTTGGTCCGCATGACTACAAAATATTTTTCTTAATTACTGGTAGTACCTGCACAGTGGATAGATTTACAGAACCGTATCCCACTGAAAATTATTTTATTTTTTCAAATAACTTGGCATCGCAGCATCGAATACAAAAAACAAAGACATCGCTGGAAAGAGAATTTTCTGTGGAATACAAATTTGTAAAAATATACAGAATATATAGAATATATAGAATATAAATAGAACTATTTAAGAAAAACCACCTTAAAGATGCTCCGCCCTAATGCATCACCCTGTATAATTCAAAATATTTTTAAAATGTGAACTTTTTTAAGTACATCACTCCCATAAAATATTTATTTTCAAACCTTTATAATAAGGAAGATATTGAACTTTGTCACACTATTGGGCCACACTGTAGGTATTTATATCTACAGTACATTTCGCGTGCGAACAAATTCGCATAGTGACCCCTTTTTCCCGCTTATCATTTAGACTAAACATCCACTGGACCATAAGTTTAACTCACAATATTAGTTGAGTCTGCTTTTCTATTTCATTACATATACAGGACGTCCCCACAACTACACTAACTTAATTTAAGCAAACCTTGGTTTATTGCAACACATATAATTTTTTAAAATATTGATCTGGATCATAATTATTTATACCTATTAATTATTATTAGTATTACTGTAGTACCCAAGAAAAAATATTTGTCTAAAACATCAGTCATGACCTTTTTGGCCATACTTTTCTTGCTGTTAGAAACAAATTCATTAAATTTTAGACCAAGTGATGCCGAAAAAGTAATAAGAGGTTTTTCTACAAAAAAAGATATCTCTGAAAATGATGCTCCATTTATTTATGTAATAGAAAAATTAAATTTGTTGGTAAAAATTAGTCATTAAAGTAGATGTTTCTTAGATATTATCATGCAAAAGAAACAAAGTTAGTCGAATATCACAGTTTCAAGCAATGACTCCGTATGCTTCTGCAAATTAATGAGTAGCTATTTTTCTACATTGATATGATTTGATAGTTAATAACATAGAACAATCAGAGTATTATGAGCCCTAAGTAAAAAATTAACTTTGTATAATTTTCGGATAAAAAATATTATGGTCATATGTAATTAAATGAACGAAATAAGTAAATGAAGAAAAATCACATAATAAAATACGAATTTCCAATGTATTTACTTATTTTTTTTTGTAAAATTGTAACATTGGTTGCTGTGGGAAAATAATTAATAATTACTTTCATTTTAGAAATAATAGTACAGTGCGATTGTGTCAATTGTTTATAGGTTAATTTATATCAATATACATTTATCAGTAGCAGAAAAAATATTGTGTACAACTGTTTTGTAAATGACCTTTTTTATTTATGGTTTAGTAATTATGGTAGTACCTATGGAACCATTACCCGTGAATTATTTGCTACTCTCTGGGCCCATTGAACTATATTCGCAGCATCTGATAAACATCTAAGATCATTCGTCAATAGAACCATCAGACAAATACAGATTTCAAAATTATTAGTTCTCATTAGAATGTTGTAGGTGAGACGAATAAGGGTGAGATATGTCGTATATACGATGTGTCTCATATTAAATGTTCAATGCCAAACTGGCAGAGAGCGACCTGTTTTCATAGGCCTATATATTAGCATGTCTCAACCATATTCAACCTAGACATCAGTTCAAATTCCTATATTCCTAGAAACGTAGATTCACGTAACTAGACTCTTCGTCAGTCGTTTCACCTATGTCATATTGTAATATGTCAGGGGGTTTTGCTGACGAATGATTTTACCTCCCTACAGAGCCTATCCCGAGAAGGGCTGGTCCAAGATTTCTGGCTAAGGCTAAGAAAGTGCATTGTAAGTCGTATACAAGCACATAGGCCGCGACATAACAATACGAAAAACGATAGCACTTTAAATTATGAAGTTATTTAATGTTCATATATTGTTTCCTTTGTTTTTTTGTCACATATTTATTGTTCTAAATATTTTCAATAAATTTGAAAACCATTCCTATGCTAAATGTTTATTACCCATTGGATAAAAAAATTGTTCGAGAATTGCATAACTTTATGAAACACAAAAGGTAAAAGGAAAAACTTATCTAACTTTAAGTTAAAAGGCACCTACCAATATCTTAAGTGTTGTTAAAGATATTTATTCAAATTTCGTAAAGATGGGGATACTAAAATTAGAATACAGTATTAAATCTTAGATAAGAAATGGTTAATATATTATTTAAGAAAGTCCACCCCTATTTTAATTTTAGAATCAGACGCCTATGTTAAAATCAAATTTAGTGTTATGAGAACAATAGCTTTACAGGTAATTATTTCGTGCTAAATAATTTTCAGATGGTATGGTAAAAATTACAACTAAAATAATTGATAGTGGAAAAGACAAGGGATAGTTAATCACTCTAGATCTATTACATGTTCATTTATTATGTACATGGCGTCTTCTATAAACATGCCAACTTTACAAATTTCAAACGCCATTTTCTTTGGTATTTCAGATAGATGATATTTAATGACCTCTCTCTTGTATATATTTGTATTTTCCATCTTTAATATTTATTTCAATATTCTGTTGTTATCTTCAATAACTCTGGAGATATTTCAGGATTTTTATTAAAATTACTGAAAAGGCATTATCCTCCTCTGTTAAACTTGGTTTTATAATTGTCCATGACCTACATAATGTCATTAAAGTTAGATTTAGTTTCATAACCTGGCCTAGTCTAGTTATTTGAATAATTAAATTGGTAATTCAGAGAAAAGGAACAATTTATTAATGAGACGAAACGTAATAAAAAACATTAATTAAAAATAAATTTAACATAATTGAGTCAATTCACTTTATTGTTCAAAATGTCGATCTTTTGTTTCATTCCAGGCTGTAAATAGTTTTTAAAGACATGCATTCCACGACAAACTGTAGTTAAGAATGGAAACGGCTTGCAACGCTTATCATCTAAACGATAAATATTTTAAATTTTTTATAATTGTTATTTAGAATTGTATCTATTAATACATTTTTAATTTTTTAATATATTTCAAATTTAAAATTTTTTTGTTCTATTTCTCCGAATTACTAATCCATTGATATTTATATAAACATATTTAATGCCTTTTCAGCAGTTACTATAAACAAATATGAAATATCTAAAAAAATCATTATTGGAACACCTTAAAAAATATTATAAAGAGATGTACAAAATGAGATCATTAAATGTATGGTTTGAAATTTGTTAAGTTGGCATATCCGTAGAAAACACTATAAATAAAATAATGAATATCTTACAGATCTCGAATTGGCCAACCATTGCTTTCCATACTGTTAAATATGTTGATTCGAATAATTACCATTTGAAAATTATTACAAATTTTAACAGATCATGCTTTTCGCAAAATTTAAGGAATTTTCTAAATAATTTAGCAACGTCGCTATGAAATGTAGAACTACTTACCCTACCAGAGACAAAATTTTACAGCAAATTTAAATATATAAACTTCCTTTCACAAAAGTTAATTCCCTTCACACACCCCTCTATATGTTTGATTTTTGTATCTGTAATTTTATTTTAATATGCAATATCTTTTATTCCTTTCAACTTTTACCTGAATATTTTTCTTGTATCTCTAGTAATAACAGAGCTATTGCACTTTGCCACACTAATGAACCACCATGTATGTCCTTGATATTATCCTGGGACAATGTACGTATAATATTGTTAAGGATAAGTTAAATATTAACTTAAGTTACCGTAAACCTGGCGTTTGCAGTAATCAATAGAGAGTATATGATATGTTTTTAAAGCACTATCAACACATCAGATACAAGATAAAAGATGCGTGGAAGAATAAGTTCAGCTTCGTACCCCCGCAAACCTGCACCGTATATATAAAATCACGTTTGCATTTTAATCCACTTGTCGCGATAAAATAAAACAGCTAGTTTGGGTCTCATGTAGTTTTTAAGTTGTGCGAGCATAAAGAGCAACATTAATAATCATGAATTCTGATCCAGATATCCAAACTCCGATGTTGGACAATTTGCCCTCGCTGACCACGCAGAAATTTAAGCAATACGTTGCGACGATTTCAGGTTAGTAGCCTTATTTAGTCCACCCACATAAATACACAAAATCTGCAGCATTTCGAAACAGACTGAATCGAAAGGTTAATTACATTTCAAAACAGTCGACATTAAAAAAAATCAATAGTTAACAAGTGTTACAACAGTGTCAGATTCCCACGTTTTTTAAGCTGAATGCTATTTAAGAAATATTTTTTATTCAAATATTTTTTTATGGAAAACTGATCTAAAGGTACATTTTTGTTGAAAAATACATAAATTTACACTGTTCTTATTTAATATTTCATAAATTTAACAACAATTGTATTGTGCATTCGGTTTGTTAAAATATTTAGGTTTTATTCACTTTTAAATTATAATTTTTCAAAATTTTTACAAAAAAAGGAATTTTGATTTTTTTTTATTCGAATGAAATTGTCTTCACTGATGAGTACTTTCTTTATTTAATTAGACATTTGTCTTTATTAATTATATCATTAAACTTTTGTGTCGATGTCAGGAGTAATAATAGCTTATGAAATATGTTGTTATTTTAGTAAAGGTAAGAAAAGAATGATACATTTCAAATTAGAGTGAATATGGTTGTAACATTATATTAATTAATTGAGCCATTAAAGGATTAGTTGAATGTAGTTTATTAATTTATTATCAGTATTATACTCATATAATTTGAAAACATTGTTCACAATAATACCAATTTTCAAGAGATGAATTTTTTAATTAATTGCATTTGCAAATACTTTAATTAATTATATACTGGTGTAACGTAAAGGTTGGGAATAAATTAAACGGTGGATTTTTTGGTTTAAAAAATAAATTTTTCTCATATGAAGTTATGATCTACGGGACTACGGGTTTTATTTTCCAAGCTACAGGGCGCTAAAAAGTTTCCAAAAATTTAACTTTCGAACATTATAATATAATGGAAAGAAATTTTAGCATTTGCTTAATTTGATAACCCCCTAGTAACAGAAACAAGATTGACTTTGTAAGTTACTCAGTGACGTGCGTACAGATTGTACCATAATCTTTTTCGAACAAAATTGTGGTACGCCACTGGTAAACATTTTTTTTAATATTTTTTTATTCTATAATCTAATCTACTTTTTATTTTAAACAAAATTACCCTCTTGCGTTTTATTTCTAGCTCTTGTAATTTTTCCGTAAATACAATTTGTAAATACTTTTTCCCACTGCTAACATTGGAAAATAAAAATAGCAAAAACGTTATGAAGTATGCTTTGACTCAGCCACGGAACATAGTCAAATAGGCATTGAACAAAGACTTAAGAGATATTCAAAAACTAAATTTTTAGAAATTTTTTAGCGCCCTGTAGCTTTGAAAAGAAGACCCGTAGAGCATAACTTTATATGACAAATATTTATTTTTTTAAATAAAAAATCCACCGTTTAATTTATTCCCAACCTTTACGTTACACCCTGTATATTATATATTAAAGTAACAGGCGTTTATTTTAATTTGTGCACAATTCTCAACATTAAATAATTTAGAATTGATAGTTCCTTAAAAAAATTTAATTGTATATTTTATTAAAAGAGAAATATTAGTAAATACTTTGTTATAGTATTAACAATTTTTCCTTATCTTTGCTGTAATTTTTCTAATTATTTCTATTGCATTTTTCAAACAGGAAAATTGTTGAACTTAACTGATTTTGAAATAAGTATTAATGTAAGCAAGGATATTTCAACTTACTTGAAAGTCAGTCATACAGCATTCCATAACTTGTTTAAAAATTTCAATGTATCAGATTTTTTATCCTTCTAAATTACTTAAATAATTAATTAATAGTGTGGGTGAGATATAACTGACTGTACATTATATCTCACCCACACTTAAAATATGCAGGGGCTAGACATCTAAACAACTAGATTATTTATCGGTTATCTCACCTATGATGACAATTAATAAGTTCGAAACAAGTCTATATCTTGTGATTCAATTGATAAATAATCTTAGCTATTTACCAGATATTGCAGGTGTAGTTCAATGCTGGATGGGGCTGTAGTCCGCGGAGTAGTTACTTCCTCAGTAAAATTAAAAACTTATGGACCTTTAGAGACATAATTTTTATTTAATTGTTTTCTAATAACTTCGTCTCTTTTTACAATATTTACTATTAAGATCAATTCTGTTAAAAAATCAATGACTACTAGGATATAGGTCTTTGAATGTAGTACTGCGAAGCTACATTCGCAGGGCTATATCTCAGTAAATAAAATTTTCCAAAATCTCCCATTAAAAGAAATATAGCAAAAAAAACAACAAATGACTGTTTAATGTGTTCTTAACAATATTTATATTTTGGTAAAAAACATAAATTCTGTCTTACACAAAACTGCGTTATATTAAGTTTCACTGAAATATAAAACAATGTAAGTATAAAAAAATAAATAAAAAATTGTACTAAGATAATTGATCGAAATGGTTTCACCTACAAAATTGCTTTAAAAAATTTTCAGGCACATCAATTAGCACTATGAGTTGAACAATTTTTAACAGAAAAAAATAGATACAGGGTGTCCCAACTAGGAGATATGATGTCATACATTATATGCTTTAATAGCAGCACAATTTTTTTCGATTTTTTTTAATACGTCTAAAGTTATACATTAAATTGGTAATTTGGAAGGAATCAATAAAAAATTGTATTACATAAGTGTGACAAGACTAAAACCATAAATTAATTGAATAACGCACATTTTTTATAATTACAAAATTTAGTGATGTAACGAATGCCGGTTTTTAAGCATTCGCGAATGCGAACATCTGTTGTTGACATTCGCGAATGCGAATACGAATATTCAGTTTTTAAATCTAGCGCCGTTTATCTATGATTCAAAATATGCCGCGAACATAATATTTCCGGTGACAGCGGCGCTAGAGGCTAAAGAAATTAGCGTTGTTAAGTTGGTAGAACGATATTTTTATATGATTGGAATTTGTTTTCTAATCTCTAAAGAAAGGTGATTAATTAACATCAAATATAAAGGTTGATTATATAAAGATATAATTGTTTTAAGTAAGTTTTGTAATTAAAAAGAAAAGAAATGAATACTTTTTTGTTTAATTTACCTAATATTGTTTTCCACATTCTGTATTTTTCTTTTACGTTCATATTCGCAAATTATTCAAAGATATTTGCGAATGCGAATGCGAATATCATAAATCAAACGAATATTCGCGAATGCGAATGCGAATGCGGATATTCGTTACATCACTATTACAAATATACCAAAAAAAAATAATAACTTGTATCTTGGGAACAACTAGGAATATATAGGGAGTTTCATAATAGTATGTCTTAATGCAGGGGGGTGAATCTGCGCATGATTTTATTTTTTATTCATGGTAACGAAGCCTTTACGGACATATGTTTATATGATCTTTTTTACTTAAAATCATGCGCAGATTAACCCTGTACAACATACTATTATGACACCCTGTATATTTGAAATTTGGTGGTGATGCATTCAAAAAAATAAACAAAAACTGGGGTTTACTTTTAAAAAAATTCCGATGACGTGATATTTTCGTGTTTAGACACGTTTTTGTTTTGATAAAGAAATGCACAATGTATAAAACCCACCGACTTATCTGAACATTTTTCTCATTAATTTTGTATTTGCTAAACTGGATTTATTCCAAGTTAGTGACTCGCACTGCTTAATAGAACACAACTTATTGTTCTATTCCTGAGGTCAAAATATGACTTTTCATTCAAATATACTTTGAAAATATCTTAAAATCAAATTAAATTTTGGCAATATTCCGAAAAAACTATTTTTGCGGTCAAATTGATAATTTTAGTAATTAATATTTATGGTAAGAACTAAATACTAATATTTATTTTGTGTTTATTGTGCACATTGAGGAAGGTAGTTATATCTTGCTGATGAAATGTGGCTTAAACTTTTTAGTAAAGTTCCGTCATTTATGTTGTAATTAAAAGATAATGGGTCTGCTTCTACCACAGTTGATGACTGATTTGAAACTATCAGAGATATTTGACCAATTGATTCGTGACTTTAGACTCGCTGAAAATACGCTGTGACAATTTAAATGGCGGAGTACAACAAACCTAATAGTTAAAAATTTTAAAATTATTGTAGAATTGTGCTTAATTGCTTTTTGGAATAGAATTTTGTGAAATTTGACAACTTTCAAAAGACTACACAAAATAATAAAATAATAAGTGTAAGGATAATAAAAATGCAACTAACAACAACTAAATAATTGACCCTGGAAGATTTATATTTAAGTACTAAACTTTGTTTTGATGGTTATCAAAATTAATCAATTTAAATCTTTTTATGATCCAGTGATAGTAAACATCACGAAACATGTATTTACACTCTATTTATTTTAAGCTTAACATAGAGCATATTAATCTCTACACAATTAGTGTAGTCTTTTCAGGTATTTACTTATTAGGTAAGCAAAAATAAATGTGAATTTAATTTAAAAAGGTGGAAAAACACGAATTACCAAACAAGAATTAACCAAAATTAGTTGATAACAACCATATATTTTTGGCCATCAACTCTGATGCTATATTATTGACATTAATTCTTATTGTTATTCTCTTTTAATATGTTCACCTCCTTAAGACGTTAGTTATGGATTGAATTTACTTTAAAAACAATTCTTTACACGTGCATTAATAATAGTTTCTCCTTTTTGAATGATGAAGGGGACTATTAACCTTATTCAAATTTAAATAGATTTATAGTCAACATTATTAGGCAACCAACCATTCGAAGCAGAGATTATAAATTTGACAAGGTACATTTAAGAATTTTTCTGCACGCAAAACTCCTGGCAAAAATCAAATCAAAAGTCGTCGTGATCGTTAGATTCAGAAAAAATTTATTTTTTTTTTGGTTTTTTAGATCATACCTATATTTGGTTTCAGCAAATTAAAATCTATAAGAAATGACAGTTGTGGTCTAAAAAAAAAATTATCGACCCCTGTTATCTATGTTAGGTAAAAATAAAAAATGTACAGTGTTTCCCTGAATAGAAAAAACGACTCTTGTAAGAGACGAAAAATGTTGCTGATGAAAAGTGGCCTGGGTTTCAGCATTGCTTGTTTGTAAAACAAAATCTGCCATGATTTCAAATTTGTAAAATCCAGTAAGCTTTGGAAATTTGCAACAATCTAATTTTATTCACAAGTAAAGTTCCATTCCCATATGAACTATTACAAAATGTTATTAAAAAATTCTCTCAGACTAGTACAGTGCCGTTTCTGTATGAGGAAGACTCCCAGAATGAAGAGTTAAGATTGTCTATCATATTTCAATATCATATATAAATCCAAGAAAAGATGCGAAAAGAAGAAAGTATCTAATGATAGTAAACGAAAATGTCCTGTTAGCTTATTTAGTTGAAAACAAGATTAAATCATCTTAAGCTTAAGTGATTTAGAATCTGTATTCGGGAGATACGGTTTCGAAAATACATATCTTTTTCAATTAGGCGTCATTTTAACGCAAATCATCATGCCGAAACGTTTTTTTCGAAATGTGCAGAATTTTATCAGCTTTTACCTGTTTTTTTCAGAATTCAAATTGCTTTAAAATTTTGTGAGATAAATGAGAAAAACGGAAAAGTCACTTTTTTTCAAAATTGATTTCCTGAAAAACCCCACCGTTCGAGAGATACTGTTTCGAAAGATAATATTTCTACACATTATTATGTATAAGCTCGTATCATAATAATTTTAACACGGAAATAATTTGTCAACGTAGAAGTGAGTAAAAAAAAGTAGGGTTTTTGAGAAAATTAATTTTGAAAAAAAAATATTTTTTCCGTTTTTCTCATTTATCCCAAAAAGTTTTAAAGCAAATTGAAATTTGAAAGAAATAGATAAACGTGTGTGTGATAAAATTCTGCACACTAAAAAAAAAAAATGTTTCGATAGGATGATTTGGGTCAAAATGATGGCCACTTGAAAAAAATATGTATTTTTGAAACCGTATCTAACGAATGGAGCAAGTTGGCATATTGCCGCTTGGCTAAAAGATAGCTTATTGCAATTGAAAAATATATCCAATATATTTGATGAAAATAAAAGGTGGGGCCTTTGAGAAAATCAAATTTGAAAAAAATCGTTTTTTTCATTTATCTCGGAAGGTTTTAAAGTAATTTGAATTCTGAAAAAAACAGTTGAAAGCTGATGCAATTTTGCACATTTTGAAAAACGTTTCGATAGGATGATAATGACGGCCACTTGAAAGAAATATGCATTTTCATTTTCGGAATAACGCTATCACCATGTAAATTTTGACATGACACCACAGAACTCCAAAAATTTTTCTCGGAAATACAAAAAAACACGGGTTTCATTAAATTCAAAATACTTAGATTAACATCCCAAAGTTTCAAGAAAATCGAAGAGGTATTTTTTTTTGTTCGTTGAATCCATATGGAAACTACCTACTACCAAATTATTATTTTGGTTCATAGATAACTATTCCAGTTTTCTAATGTATCAATTTTTGTTTCCAGTTTCCTTGGGAGCGTTCTGCGCAGGGACAGTTTTATCATGGACCTCTCCAGGATTAGCCCACATTACCATCGACGGCACCAACAAAACAAACGGCACTTTTCCAACGGATGAAATCCCTGCTCCAGGATTCAAAATAACCAAAAGCGAAGAGGCGTTAGTAGGCGCGATGCTCACAATTGGAGCTCTGATATCAGCCATTCCCACTGGATACCTAGCTGATAAATTTGGAAGAAAACTCATAATATTAGGCTTATCGATACCCTTCTTGCTGAACTACCTCCTGATATCTTTCGCGTATAACGTAGAGACTGTGGTGGCGGGAAGGTTCTTCGCAGGAATAGGTCTAGGAGGCATATGCGTGGTGGCGCCCATGTATATAGGAGAGATATCTGAACCCTCCAATAGGGGCATGTTCGGGTCCTTCTTTCAGATGTTCCTTTCTTGCGGCATACTCTTCACGTGTATAATCGGGTCTTTCGCGAACTGGATGTCGTTATCCTTGATCCTTGCTGTTGCTCCTGTCGTGTTTGGAGTAAGTTTCCTATTTATGCCCGAAACTCCTGTGTACTTGGTCGAAAAAAGCAAGCTGGACGAAGCGGAGAAAACGTTGAAAGAGCTAAGGGGTAGCAGCTACGATGTTTCGGTAGAATTGAAAACTATCCAAAAAGAAATAATGGAATCTCGGGAGAAAAAAGCCACACTCGCTGATATCATATCAGACAAGGCAAACCTAAGAGCTACACTTTCCGTTATAGGTGTATTAGCTTTCCAGCAATTTAGCGGTATTAACGCTGTGGTGTTCTATACAGTAGCTATTTTTAAAGCGGCAGGGTCTAACATTTCCCCAAGTCTTTCAGCCATTATCATCAACCTCGTACAGGTTGTGGTGTCATACATTTCTATATTGATCATAGAAAAAGCGAACAGAAAATTCTACCTGATGATGTCTTCGAGTGGTATGATGTTGTGTTTAGCTGGTCTGGGAATGTTCTTCCACTTGAAATCTCTCGCGGTGAACGTGGACCATCTTGGTTTCATTCCGCTTGGCAGCACTGTTCTCTTTATGATATGTTTTTCTATAGGCTACGGCCCAGTGCCGTGGATGCTGATCAGTGAACTGTTCTCACCGGAAATCAAAGGCATAGCCAGCGGTTTGGCTATTTTGGCGAATTGGGTGTTCGCCTTTATCGTTACCTATTCTTTTCCCATTATAAATGCAAATCTCGGTGATCATGTGACCTTTTATATATTCGCTTCCGTTATGGTATGCGCGACGATTTTCGTTCATTTTGTTGTTCCTGAAACCAGAGGCAAGTCCCTACTGGAAATCCAAGATGCCTTGAATAGATAATTATGTATAAATGTTTAGGAATCTTGAAATTTTCTAGGATTTTCTAATTGCTTTAATGAATTTTCTCATTATTTTTAGTGATATTTTTTTACATGTGACAAAATTATGTATTTAAATAAAATATATTTACACATTATGTTATTATTACCCTTATTGTGAGAGAGACTCATCAGATGTAATGAAATTGAAAACTACGAATACCACGCGAATAAAAGTTACAATTTAAAAACCCTTCATGCCTTCACTTGATGTAGTCTCCTGAAGGTAGGAATGCTAGAAATTTTATTGCAGTGTATTCAGTGAAAAAAAGGCAATTTTATTAAAGAGTAACAATCACGGTGGAAGAGATTATTATCATTCAGAAGGAAATGCTAGGATTTCAAAAGAGAAAAGGAGAGTAGTTGACATATCAACAAGACAAACATAATATACTTTCCGTGTGCATTAGCTTTCCAGTATATTTTTCAAAACAGCAGCCGTTGATACTTTTTCAAGTCTATCAACCAATATGGTCAACAGGTTGTCGTGTTGTTAATTTCTAAACTGATGAACAGAAAATTCTACTTCATAATGTCCTAGAATGTTCTTCCACTTAAAATTCCTTCGTGTTAACGACAACTATCTTGGTTTCATACTGCCTGCAAGGACTGTTCTATTTATGATAGGTATGCCTCTTACAGCTTATGGCCCAGTGCTATTAAAGTAGATCACTGAATTAATTGTTGAAAATCCTCAAATCAAAGGCACAGCCAATGCTGTTTTGGAAGATTGAAGACCTATTTGTTTCCTTTTATAAATAGTTCATTTTGTTGTTCCCCAAAACCGAGGCAAGCCCTTAATAGAAATCTAAGATGCTCTGAATATATAATTATGAAGAGATAATTAGAAATATTAAAATTTTTCAGATTTTGTAAAATATAGTTATCTCCTGCATAATTTTTTATCCTTATTTTGAAGTAAACATGGTTCTGAATTAAAAATATATTAATTTATCTTAGCAATAGTTGGTACATAGGACTTGAATTATCTATCAGACATATTGAAAATCACACAAAAACCAAATTACCCAAAGCAAAATCTAAACACTTTTTATGGCTGTGATCCTTGCTGTTGCTTCTATGGTGTATAGAGTTAACTTGTTCGTGCTATAATCTCCTGTGTATTGAATGGAGAAAGAGAAACTGGATCAAGTGGAGAAAACAATAAAATACTTAAAACCACATTCACTAATATCATATCCAATAAGCCATATTTAAGAGATACACTTCCATGTACAGTAACTATTTTTAAAGCAACAGGCACTAACATTTCTCTAAGTATTCCAACCTATTCATAGGCTTATGAAAGAAAGTGGTAGGTATGTTCCATAGATAAGACCCTTGCAATTCATATATTTCGGAAATCAAACCTGCCCTGGAAAATTTTTCATAACTTTTTTTTTCGAATTGGCGAAAACTACTCCTGAGGGGCTCATTGGTACTTGAAAATTTAAACAAACCTTGCATGTTTTCAGCTTCGAGTGAATACCAGAAAATCACCGCTAAAACCTAAAAATTAGCTAAACTTCTACGTTCGGCGGATTCAAGTTATAAACTCAAACCATGAATTTACAACCTCGGATAGAGATTTTGTTAGAATACATTGATTTGTTTGCAGAGCAACTAAATTCAGGCTTTTGGCTGCTTTTTAGCTTTCAAGGTGTGATTTTTGGCAATTTGAAAATAAACTAGGGCATAATGGAACATTTTATACGGCAGGGTAGATTTTTGGGGGCCAAAATACGTAGGGTAGCATTGGTCGCTTTCATGGAACAAACACGTTTCTTTGTATGTTTGTGGTTTGTGCACAGTCAGTTATGCAGTTGATGCATTTAAAAAAACCAGTACATTCGATGTTTTCCTTCTGATATCAATTTAAATATGTAATAATAGAGCGTGTTTTTGTTCTTTTTGTGTGCCTATGACTTCATCAGTCACAGAAAAAACGAACAGGAAAGTCTGGCTAGTTTTTGCTATGTCTTCCGCATATCATCTCTCAAAATTAACATGGACCACCGTGGATGCATATCTTTTAGCAACATATACTGTTTCCTATTATAAATGCAAATCTTGCCAATTACGTGACCCTATATATTCGCTTTCGTTGTGGTACATGCTATTATTTTCCGTAATTTTGTTTTCCTTTAAATTGGAGGCAAGTTCTTGGAGGTACTTCCAAGAACTCTGAGACTTCCTTAGGAATCTTGAAATGTTCTAGGATTTTCTAATTTTTGTGGAATAATATAAATGTTTAGTTATAGAATAATATACTTTTATAGAATTAATATATTTTTATAGTAAATATCGACTTATAATAATCATAATAATTAATTAATAATTTGTACTTGTATATTCTTTGCAATTCTTCAAAAGAAAATGTATCATAAATTTTAAAATTACTGTTTTTAAATAAATTTAATAATTTGATTCAAGTACATACGAGTATAGGCAACCATATAAACCAGTCAATATCTCAGATTGCAGTTTTAAAGAAGATCGATATAGAAGTTGAGATAGCAATGCTACATAAAAAATAAAATCGACTTTAAATGATTTCGAACTGCCGTGTTTGAATAATATTTTGAACAAAAAGTAATTGACCTATTGAAACATTCTTTAATGTTTTGACACATTCAATTAATGTGATAAAGTTTAGGCTTAGACTTGATAAAAAATAAGTAATTTTGTTTGATATATTTATGTTTTCTAATGCTAATTTCTAATTTACTTATTTAATTACTTTTACTGTATTTCAAGGGTATTAACCTAGTTCAAATAAATTGAACTTTTTCCCTAAAAATTCTATCAAATAAAGTCAAGCTCAAGCAATGTTCTTCGATCCCAAAAATCTAGATATGCCAAATATATCATATAGTCCATAGAGAAGTTGTTTTTCGCAATATATAGGGTGATTCACAACATATCCAAAAAAAAAAAAATTGGAAATAGATGCGGTGTGAGAAATGGAGACAATATTGTAAAATAAATTTTTGTAAAATCCTTATACTTTCCGAGAAAAAAATTATTGAATTGTAGTACATTTATCCATTACATAGCTGGACAACTGTAGTCCCTAGCATCATTCGCAATGCGTGTGGAGAGCTACGTGGCCTCAGTGACTCCGAATACTGAAATTCGATTTTACAATCGCCGTCGTTGCGATAGTGTTTACTGTGGTGGTGTTTACAATAGTTTTTTAGTAGTTAGTGTCAAAAATGGCTTGCGTGTATAGCAACTCGGAGTTGATGGATATCGTTTTAATTTATGGACAACATTTGTATTATGGTGAGGCATTTGTGTTATGGTGAATCAAGACAACATTTGTGTTTACACGTCGGTGGATACAATTTTGAGCAGTTGTTGTAACATCAGATATGTCAAATTATTTTATTATTTAAAACCACAAATTAATTTTATTAATTAATAATAACAATAACGGCTAAATCAGTTGAATTTGCTGATATAAAGTAGGTCCTGTAAAATTCTATTCATTTCTTTCCTTGCGAAAGTTTTTGTCCATTTATTTATCACAACTGCCCTTTTTGATTTTCTCTTTACAAAATTGTATTTGTAAGAGTCCCCTGTACGTCCAAAATTTTTTTTTTTGGATAAAGCCTGAATCACCCTGTATACCAGTTAAAAATTTTGACTACGAGGTTAGATATCTTTTGCATAATTAGATTTTTGTAACCGAAAAACATTGTTTGACTTCATCTGATAGGATTTAGTACGAGTTAATATTAAAATATATATTTTAAGAGAAGAAACGTAGGTATCTATCTATTTAATCTATCAATCCTGAAAATAACGGTACAAAATTGAGGACTATCCTGTATAAATCAACAAAATAATTAATGTAGACCGTATAAAGTTAGAGTAAAATTTTTAAAACAATGTGTCGTTGTTTCGACCTCGTATATCCAAAAAAATGCATTATTGCATCTTTATTTCGGTGTACATTACTTACAGTGCCATTATTTATAAAATTTACATATTTATCTGTGTAGTCCTAAGTAAATTCCGCAAAAGCTAAACTATGTAGAGGTTAGTTAAGTTGATAACTAGATATTTGTGTATGACATTTTAACTCATTTTCGTTGTAGATATTAGTGTTACTATGAATCGCACGTAAATACTATATTCATAACGATTTGTTTAATTTGTCACATATGGTAACAGATTAATTAAGATACAATGCAAATACTAGGTAATCTATTACACTGAACCTTCATTTCAACAATAAACAACAATCATATTGCGTTATTCATTATAAATTTAAGAAAACGTGTTAATTTAATCAACAACATTTTCTCTATATTGAGTTTTGAAGTTAATAAATGGCAAAGAATTTTATACATATACAGGATGTCCAACATTGACACAGGTGCATCTAGCTGTGCCCAAAATATTGTATTTTAACCAAACTTACTTTATATGAAGTTGTACTCAGGTGAAGTTATATGCCTTCAAAGTGAGGCTCCTTTTGCAAGATGATATCACAGCCCCACGAAAAACAAAAAAATGGTAGGTCCGAAAGCCAAGACCATCATATCTGCCCGTTTGACACCATCAGGTCTAGGTTAAAGTCAATTCAAAGTCAAATGTACAAAATCGATTTCCAACAAAGTAAACTGTTGTTTTTGAATCCGAATCCGGTGTTCGTTGGACTGTATTAACTTTGGGTCAAGGTCAGTTCAAGGTCAAATGCAGAGAATCTACTGCCAACAAAGTAAACCTACACACCTATAGGTTTTTGGGGTCGCTGAATCCGAACCCGATGTGCGTTTGACCCGATCAAATCTGGGTTAAGGTCAATTGAAGATCAAATGTCAGAATCAATTGCACAATTGTACAAAATAAAACTATATATCATACGTTTTGGGGATTGACCTCATATTATAAGGAATTCACTTCTAAAATTCTTGCTAAACTTCGATAAACCTTGCCGTTTTCAAGAAAAATAATTAGGATAATTCAAAATAATTTATTCTAGCACTGTGCGCTAGAATCTCCAAAAAGTCTACACCTTTAGTCTCTCACCTTTAGTGGCTACAGATTTAATTTCAGCGAAAAATTGTTACACTAACAATGTT